CATTGAACCTAATCAAAGCAAGCAGTACCACAACATTTGTATGTATGTACACAAGAGACTAGGGCATAGGAAGTCATAGATTTGGTATTAGGGATAGAAAGAGGATAGACGCGGTGGAGACTAGAGCTAGTTGGCTGGCGGTAGGCCTCTTTTGCCATAGACGTGGTCCATGTGGCAAAGGCTTGACCATGAGAATTACGCAGAGGCTTTAGCCTCGAATTAGTCACCCAGACGCAGAGGAGGGGTAATAACGCCTCAAGCTGATGGATTCTACGAGGCAAGAGGGAGTTTCTGATAAGACTTATGGAAGGAGGACGGCATGACAATATGGCAGTCTCTGATCCACATTCTCAACACAAGGGTGAATGGGGGGGTAAGAACGCCAGCGTGGAGTGTGGACGCCGCTCAAAAGGACACACCACTACATAAAAATAAGCACGGAAAAAATTGTAACACTGAAGGTGTGATACGAGGATATAGGAAATGTGAATAGCCCATGGCAGAAGGAGAATTACCACAACTGTTTAGCACAGGTTTTGTCAAAGGATCGGCTTCAATTGTCTCTTAGACGAGTTGTAGTGTGGTTCTATGACTGGCAAGACTCACTGACGATGCCGACTACGCTGCCGGCGAAACGTCTGGGAATATACCATATCCACGGTCTGACTGAAAATTATCATGCATACAATGAACTCCAGACTAGGTGCGTTTCTCTAAGTCTTCCCACCAATATGAACAAGTTGCGAAAACAAGGTCAAACAACCTCTATGTAATTCTTTGTTCAGATTTGGAGCAAGAACCATCTAATAGCTAGATCTCTTACTCATTAATACTATTTGCCATTGCCATTATATATTATTACTGAATTTGTCCATCTCATGATTGAATCTTTATCTAAATGTTTAATAATTGAAAGTTCAGAATGTTGTTTCAAATGCCAATTCCAGAGCCTTTATCTCCTAACATACCAAAATTTTATGGAACTTTACGCCACATTAAAATTCACAAGCAAATAAATCTGAGATAATTCTAAACTCTGATCAATGGAGAATAGAATGCCTCTTGAAATGAATTTCGTGCCTACCTGCACCCGTTAATAGTTGATCTTGGCAGGCTGGAGATACGAGAGTTCTGGCTTCCTGCTTGATAACGCCAACTACGGAGACGATTATTTTACAATCATTTGGAAGGTTGTCTATTTTATGTTTGTATAACTCGCCCCAGGCGTCCTGATTCATAGGTTCAGGAACAGAAAGCTCAAGAATATTACTTGTGCTCTCTTTGACCGAATCAATTGTACTTTTGAAGTTAACACAAGAATGCATAAGACGCCAGGTCACTCTAAAGATATGTGGTTGTAATCTCTCGAAGACTTGGCGTCTCCAGGAGACTTGAATTGCAGAATTGGACGAGAGTTCCGATTGCGAAGGAAGGGAAATGAATAGGCAATCAGCTGGGGGCCCAAGTTCATTAGCCTGGTGTGTAAGCGGACAGGACTCATTAATCCAACAGTGAAGTTCTCGGGCTTCACTGGCAATACGGGAATTGGAATTGGACTCGCCACTTGAAGCCTAGTTAAACACAAGAAGGTATGCCGGCTAAATTGGGAGCTTAAAAAGTGTCAAAATAAAGTTTCAATTTAGAAAATAATATGAGCTTTCCCTCATCAAAATTCAGGATACTATTATTAGCAAAATAATATCATTTTATAATTAATAACAGTAGTTGGAAACTTATTAAAATGGTATAACTACGATTTCAATGATATCATCTTGACATGAAAAAATTTACTTTTCGAATTAAGTATTGTTATCGTGACTACCAGTAAATTAGTAATATGAGATGTATTCACCCAATTTCGTTTAAGGTGACGAAGGACTGGTAGAAGAAAAATTTTCCCACAATGATATGAGTTGAGCTTACGCTTCCATTGAAGTTCACATAGCCTTGCTTTCCCAGAAGTTGTCCTCATCCAGGGTGGACTGCAGTTTCGACCTCGCATCGGTCTTATCAATACTCTCTGCGGGAGTCATACCGCGATAGTTCAGGATGAGACCTTGACACGCTAGCCACTCGACTACACTGCCACGAGCGCCTTTTTGGGTCACAGGGCAAATGGGAATTTTCAATAAAGGCCAGGCCTTTTTTGCCATATCATATTCTTTTGGTGGAATTGTCGATGATGCAAACGTATATCTGCTATAACAATCGACGAAACTGCAGTCCACCCTGGATGAGAACAACTTTTGGGAAAGCAAGGCTATGTGAAATTCAATAGAAGCGTCAGCTCAACTCATATTATTGTGGGAAAATTCTTCTTCTAACAGTCCTTCATCAGCTAAACAAAATAAAATCATTAGGCTTTCCACTAGCATCTTATGATGGTTTTATTTTAATGGGCAAACCGGCCCAAAGTTTGCATGGATAAATTCAGGGAATCGAGTTATTCGAATGGCACTTTAAATTAGGAAAGCTAATTAATGCATAGGAAAAACTGTATTTTTTGACTAATTTTGGCAACGATATTAGTTTTTACCAGGTTTTAATGCACTTGGTCATTTAACTATTTTATAATAAATAAAAATGATAAAGTTAAGGATCTTTTAACCGAAAGCATGAAGAACAAGATGGTGAGGTCATCAGTATGGTCGTGGTCTAATTTAGTTGTATAGGAATAGTAGTTTGATCCTGTTATAGCAAATTGATAATATTGGCAGGAAGACCTAGAGAAACGCCCCTTGTTCGGAACCCATAGTATGCATTATAATTTCCAGTGTCAGACCGCTGACTTCGTAAATTGTAGAAAAACAGAGTTTCGAAGAATCCTTTAATAGCTTCATGTTGGAGTACCTTTCATTTCGTTTGAAGAGGTGAATGAAATTAAGATGGTTTTACTAGAGGTTGTGGGGGGTTGCCTTGGAGCTGTGGTTGTAGATTTGCGCGAATAGGTCCTCTGCGCACCGCCCTGCGACCCAGAAGAAATCCTTGCAGAGCTTTCGTCCGTCATGTGACGGACATCGTCAGAGCAGGACACCATTGTTGACGATATAACACCAAAAAACACAAAGGCAAGAAAGCTGGTGGACTTCAAACCGACTTCCTTCTTGTATTCCAATTTGGTCCACTTATGAATCTCATGTTTTGGTTGGATGTCCTATGCTTTGCCTCTATATTTGCTCATAAGTTAAGTTAAGCGGTTGAGGATTACATCTGAAGTGGCTACAGTTGAAGCATAAAATGGGTTCAATTGAAACCAAACAACTGCATCCTCCCCTGAAATACTTATGCCTTTGATCCTACAATGTTGCCGCATGTGATTGCGTCACATTACACACGTGTTTTGAGAGTTCATTGCTCTTAAAATGAGTGTGATGTGAGAATCTTAACCAAATTCCAGCC